GCACCGCCACCCAGAAGCGCCCACGACTCCTCCCAAAAGGCCGTGCGCGTGAGAGGCTGATGACCTTCCACGTTCCTCGCCTCTCGACCATGCTGCCTTCGGACGGCCCCGCGTTCCAGCCCCCAGCCACCCTAAGACGAGCGCGCGACGGGCCGGTGGTCGTCTCGGTTCAAGCAAGTTCCGGACACACTTTTACGCCCATCTAGGCGCGTGGCGGCCGAGCTTGCGCTGGCCGATGGCGGCGTCAATGCCCGCACACGCGGGCGGCGAGGGGGCCCGCGCGAGTGCCGTGCAGCTCCCTGAGTTTGTCGGGCCTTACCTCGAGATGTACTTCAAGCAGATCCACCACTGGGAGGCGTACCACGTGGCGGCTTTCGCAGCGATCGTGATCCTTGGGGCGGATTTCTTGGCTGCGCTGGCCTGGATTCCAGTCCAGTTCAACTGCTTGACGAAGCTGGAGCGGAACCCAAAGTTGCATTATGATGCGCTGTCCGCGCTGGACTGGTCATACATAGCCGTGAACAGGATCTCGGTCGTGTGCTTCACCTACCACCTTTTCAGGCTGCTGACGCTGACGCCTTCCATCAGTTGGGACGCCGATGATGCGACCTTCACTAACTGTATACTGGTACTCTTCCCAATGGTTATGATATTTGATTTCTTCTACTCCACTTTCCATTGGTTCCTCCACTGGAAGTCCGTCTATCCCTACATCCACAAACATCACCACAAGCAGGTCACGCCGACGCGAGGGAGCCTGGATGCATTCAATGTCCACCCAGTCGAGTTCGTGGTGGGTGAGTATATCCATCTGCTCGCCTTCTACCTCGTGCCGTGCCACATCTTTGCAGTCTTGTTGCTGATGATGTCGGGGACGGTGCTGGCTACGCTGAACCACATGGACTACCATGCGTGCATTCCTGGGTTGTACGACAGCCGGGACCATGCTGTACATCACGCTCAATTCATGTACAATTTCGGTCAGTACACGATGTTTTGGGACAAGTTGTGGGGATGGTACAAGTCCTACGACGGCAAGGCTGGCAAGCGGATTTGAACACCATGGGGGCCGCCACCACCGACTTACAAAGTGCACCACTAGCGCGACCCATCTGATATGTATCTCCTACCTCTTGTCCATCCATATCTTGTTTCCGCCTGCTCCATGATTCATCCCCTGCTCCCAACAGTGCATGCGGCAGGCGCCCCTTTTCGGTCGTAAGTCTGGCAGTATTTTCGATCCTTCTAAATTCGCATTATCGGACAGGCACGCGCTCTGAGCGGGTGGATGGTCATACGGCGCAGCTTCCGCGTGAGAGTGCATGCCATAGGTCCGCTATCTATAGGTTTTCCGAGCGCAGCTGCAGCGCGTGTCGGAGCAGCCTGCGCTGCTCCGCGCGCAAACGCGTTCGCGCTGCAGCTTCGCGCAAGTACATACGCGCTGAGCTACACTGCGCGCGGGCACTTACGCTTGTGTGGCGCGGCGCAGACACTTTGCCGCGGAGCTACGCGGCACAGACACTTACGCTCGTGCGCGCGGGCACTTGCTCTTGTGTGTCCCGTCTCAGGGCGCCGTGGGGCTGCCCAGGGGGTATCCTCTACAGCGAGCGACGAGGTTTATGCTGGGGATGTCTGCGGCGACGTCGGCCGCGACGCAACAGCTTATGAGCCAGATGCATCCTCTGACTCCCAGCCTCATTACCGGCTAAAAGGCCTGTTGGGCCTGTATGCAGCCCAGTGGTGCGCGTGACGCCGTCGTTGCTAGGCGGAGACTGCGACACAGAATTGCACCCAGCGCGTGGCTGCATCAGCGAACAGAAAGGAAGCTCAGCAGTCTCTTCAGACGAGAAGCTGGCCCGCTGGCGGGTGCCCAGGACAAGTCTCTCATCCCCGATTGCCCTAGGCACCCACAGAAGTCTGGACCACTCGGATTAAGATCAGCCGCCCCAGAGCGTTCTGGAACGCTCTGGGAGCGTTCTGGAGATCCCTGGAGCGGCCGCGGCGCCCGAGACGTCTTCCAAACCCGACAGCTCTCAGAGACTCCCGATGTATATCTGGATCCGGTCTTACCTTCAACCTGCCTTTGTCCTTCTGGGGCCCCGTCAAGATCCATGACGCATATGCCGCAATACATACATATATGTATAGAAATACATATATGCGTGTGTTCCTTGGAGCACGATTTCTCATCGTGTGCCTCTGCCGCAGGTTGGTGGCGCGCAGGTGGGGGCAGGGGTGAGAGCAACGGCCTTCTGAGAAGATCCATGGGGCTTCCCAATATACGGCTCTGGCCCCTTGAAGACAAGAATCCAGCATGCCCTCCTAGAGTCGAAGAGCACCACGAGAGCAGAGATGCGCTTTATCTCGGCGGTTCGCGCGGATTGGGGCGGCGCCAGAAGCGCCGCCGGGGGGCCCAGCGCTGAGCCAAGAAGTCTGCGCGGACCTCCGACATGCTATCCGTACACTTCTTTCGATCCTCGATCAGTGTTTGTCTAGGGCACAGTTGGGCGACGGAAAACACCAGGTCTAACTGCGCCGGCATTGGCGCGCAAGCTGCCCCCTTAAGGTCGCGCGTAAGCGCCTTCGCTTGCGATGTGGCGTGCCGCCCTGGCGGCCCGCGTAAGCCTCCGCGTAAGGTCCCTGCGCCATTTTGCGAACGACCCACCTGTTTTCGTCGCTTACTTGCGTAGACATTTAAACAGTTCTGAGGTCTGCGCGGACTTCTCAGACCGGTGCTGGAGAACCCCTCTCCAGGGGGCGGACCGGCAAGGCGGCATTTGGAGGTTTCCACCTGCGGCGCGCCGTCTGAGCTCAAGACTCAAGCAGCCATATACAGCGCATGGTTGTTGAGCATCTGAGCATCGATTTCTTCGTGTTTTTTTTTGGGGGGGGGTCGGGGGGGCTCAGGGGACCCCCTCGTGGGCACGGCTGGGCTCAGTGACCAGGATGGGCCCAGAGCTGGTCTGGGTCGGAGGAGATCGATGGGGCGAGGGGGGCGATCTTCCAAGAGAACAATGGTCTGATGGGGTCTTCTCAAAAGGCGCCCCCGCCTTCTGGGAAGCTTTCCTGCTGAAGCCCCCAGATTCTCGTGAGACTGAGACGCCCCCCTCCGCCGCCTTCTCAGAGAAGGCCGCCCCCCCCCATCGCCCCGACCCTTCCCTGCGCACCGCCAACCCCCCTAATGGCAAGCTCCGGACCCCCCCCCCCTGCCCGCGAGGCACTCGGAAAAGCAGGGCGGCAAAGCGCGACAAGAAAGCTTCTTGGGGGGGAGACCCCGAGAGACCCCCGACGTCATCCTGTTTCACAACGTGGGGCCCCGGCGCCTCGATGTTGTCGAGACACGGGCCCTCGACCTCTCGACCACTCTCCCGGGCCCGGCTCTCCATGCCGCGCGAGTCGCTCTTGCACGGCCCTGGGCCCCGACGAGGGCCCGCCGAAGCGAAAATGGCGAACAACCTCCTCATCTCGATGTTTGCCCATGCGTTGCCAGCCTGGGACATTCTTTTCTGTTGGGGGGGGGGGCTACCGCAGAAGCTGCGGAGAACCTGCTGGAGGCTCGTGTCGTCGACCCCCCTCCGCGGAGGAGCCCGGCGGGTGCTCGAGAGAACGCCACGCCTCCGACGTTCACGGAATGCTTCCCCCCGAGCCGGCCTGATAGGCCCCTCCCACGGGGCTCCCCCGGCGTCTCGTGCCAAGCCGCCTCGCGATCCATCAAAGGACCAGCCGATAGCGCTGCCGCCCGAACCCGCCGGTGCCCAGCGAGGGCGCTCGCGCGCCGCGCGCCAGAGCCAGGGCGCCGCACGCGCGCGCCGCGCCTCCCAGGCCGCGAGCCGCGGAGCCCGCGCTCGACCCGTCCCTGGGGAGAAGCTTTCGTCTCCAGGGCGTCAGTGTCGTCGTCGCAGTCGCCGTCGTCGGCATTGTCGTCCTCGTCATCGTCGTCGTCGTTGTCGTCGCCGTCGCCGCCGCCGCCGTCGTCGTCGTCGTCGTTCTTGTCGTCGTCGTCGCCAGGGCTGCATTCGCTTCGGAAGTCTGGCCATAGCGTCAGAGCGGGCCCCTGGATGGGGTCCAGGGCTTAGCGGGATCGGTGCCTTTTGGCCCGCCCGGTGGTGGCCCCGGGCCAGCGATATCATTTTTCCTGGCGGCGCTCTGGCTTCGTTTTCGGCCGCGGGGGGCGGCGTTCGGGCCCTGGCCTCCGTGAGAAGTGGCTGCGGGGCGAACGTCGGGGCGGGCCACGCGTGCGTCAAGACGGCGCACCCCCGGCGAGGCGTCGCGGCGGCCACGGTTCCGGCCACGGTGGGCGCTAAGACACAGCCGTTGGGCGCCCGGAGGTGTTTTTCCTGGCGGCGCTCTGGCTTCGTTTTCGGCCGCGGGGGGCGGCGTTCGGGCCCTGGCCTCCGTGAGAAGTGGCTGCGGGGCGAACGTCGGGGCGGGCCACGCGTGCGTCAAGACGGCGCACCCCCGGCGAGGCGTCGCGGCGGCCACGGTTCCGGCCACGGTGGGCGCTAAGACACAGCCGTTGGGCGCCCGGAGGTGGGCCCTGAGGCCTCCGCTCCAGGGTGCGCCTGCTCTGGGGTACGTTTGGGCCCCCCCGGAGAAAACGTTCCTCCAGGGAAGCGGTTGGGACCTTTGTGCCCGCGGACTGAAGAATCGTACCGGCGGACGTCGGGTGCCTCGGTCGGCGAGCAAAGAGTCCGACAGGAGCAGTTGTCGAGGCGCAGGGATCTGAGACGCGCAGATGTGGGGGCGCCCGCCGACGACGACGACGCCGACGAGGACGACGGCGGTGGCGACGCCGACGACGACGACGACAACGACGACGACGACGACGACGACGACGACGACGACGACGACGACAACGACGACCGCGGCGACAGCGGTGTCGACGACGGCTGCGACGACGTTGTCGACGGCGGCGGCGTTGGTGGCGACTGCGACGCCAGCGACCGAAAGACGACGACGATGGCGGCGATGATTGCGTCGACCCCCCCACGTGGCAGAAGGACGCGGCCGGTTACGGGCGCGCAGCTGAGCGAGAAACCGCGCACGTGGGCACGTGCATCGGACGACTCGGCGGGCTGCGGGGCTCAGGGGAGAGGGTCGTCGCCGCCACCGTCGCCGCTGTCGTCTTCGCCGCTGTCGTCGTCGCCGCCGTCGCCGATATCGTCGAAGCTGCCGTCGCCGCTGCCGTCGTCGCCGCCGTCGTCGCCGTCGTCGCTGCCGCCGCCGTCGGATGAGGAGACTGAGGCTGAAGAGGAGGAGGAGGAGGAGGAGGAGGAGGAGAAGGAGCGGATCGAGGAGAGGGAAGCCGGGTGGGGGATGAAGGGGAGCATGAGGAGGAGTGGGAGAAAGAGTAGGACCAGTGTAAACACAAGGTGCACCAACGATGATGGTATAGACCCTCTATCCAAGCTCCCTCTTAGGCCCAAGGCCCAAGGCCCAAGGCCTTCTCCGCCTCCGAGGCCCAAGGCCCAAGGCCCTCTTCACACCTTCACAATTCCTTCCTTCACACTTTCACGCTTTCACAATTCCCTCTACTCTAACTCCACCCTTGAGGGCCGCGACCATGGCAGAGAAGCACAATATCTCTTCTCTCACACTTTCAAGGTCTCCGCGGACACCAGCTGGGAAGCAAACTCGTATCACAAACCCACTGAATACCATGGATGGCACAGAAGTTGCAGATCCTCCTGCCGCTCCTGCCGGTACCCCGTTTGGTCCTGCTCCGGTATTGACTTGGGCTCCAGGCAGCGCTGCTGTTGCAAGTGCAAGTGGGCAGGCATGGACCCTCGAGGACATCTGGAAAATTCACTTATCAAAGCAGAACTGCGACCACTACAACTCGACATCAGCACAATCAAACTTCGTGGTGTCACACGCAGGGACTTAGACGACGCCACGAAGCCATTACAGACTGGCATCGACGACCTCACAACACAGATGGAGGACATGCAGATCCGAATGACCAATATGGAAAACGACGCCAACGAGCGTATAGGAAAAATGGAAAACATTCGCCGATTTGACGAACTATACACCGAGATCCTATTCCAGTATTTCACAAGCCACGGCAAACTCTTACCATTATCATGGCAAACGTGCGGTGACGGCGGCCACTGGGAATTTACAGGACTTCGAGACGAAGGAGGCCGCATGCGCATATATCCGAGAACAGCTGTCCGCGATGCAAGGACCAAGACCGACGAACAAAAATTCAAAAGGCGATTTTCAGAACACCTTGTTCGCTGAGTTTGGCACTATGCTGGACGGGGACACGGCGGTTGCTTTATTTCGCAGTGGAAATCTACAGCGTGGCGGGAAAGCCGTCTGGTCCACACAGGACAGGGAGCCAGCAGAGCGCGCCGCTCGCAACTTTTGCTGCGGCTTGAAGTACATCCTCAAAAATGACATGCAGAGTCTATACACTAATAGAGTATCGGAGGAATCCCCATATGAAGTACGCGTCGGAGGGCAGGTAGCTCTTACAGTGACAGTTGGGGACACATGCGTTGAAAAACTTAGGGGATATACTTGGAAAAACTGGGACGGCCTACAGCAGCATCCCATACTCATTGAACTAAGCACTAAGTGCGACACACTCCTACCAAGGGCATCACCGGGGATGAAGGGTGGAAGCAAACGTGCATCTAAAGGCATTTCGTCCAAATAGGACATTCGGCGGGTACTGGGACCTACTACCTCTACGTGCATCTCTAACATCAGTGCCGGAGCCGTACAGCCAACTACTACGTATATGGAGTTTTTGGGTGTGGGGTCTCCGGGCAAAGCTACCGACATGCAGCGACACTTGCGCTGGAACTATCGAGTGCGTATGTTTCGGATTCGGCAGGAGCGGGCAAAGTTACCGTCCCAGCCACGCCAACTGGCACCTCGAGGAGCACCGGGGCACTCCTTTCCAGCCCCGACTCCGCAACCCTTCCCAACCCTTCCCAGCCCTTCCCATACCATCTCAACCCTTTCCAACCACGGTATGCAGGGGGTGGCAGGGGCAAATACTTGAACGTTCCTGGAGATGTTCCATTCGGTTTACGACGCGTCGAACCTCATTCTCAGGAGATCGAGATCCGTCGCCAGAGGACTACGCCCGACTACCGCGACAGGGAGATGATCATCGCACCGACTCCTGCTCTCAGCCCTGGCTCCGACCCCAGCTCCCATTGTCGACCACCGCCAGTTTCACTACAATCCTTGACGTCCAACTTTCGACCTCCACCAACCGACCTTCGACCCCACCCACCCGACCTCCATCTTCGACCTTCCGGCTCCGAGCATCCACCTCCAGCTATCGACTCCCGCTCTCCGACCTCCAGCTTTCGACCTCCACCTCCGCCTATCGAAACGACGGGAACAAAAGCAAGTCACCCAGACATGACAGTCTTCTTTGGTATTAAATGTCTAAGGTCGTAATATATACGTGTGTGACGAGATGGGCAAATATACCATCGCCACGACACATTCTGGATTTTGGGGCGTGGACAGCACGGACAAAGTTACCGACATGTGCGCTTTGCCGGAATCTGTGCGACAATTTGCACACCAATATTTCCAACCCTCCACCTCCAGCTTCCGACCCCCGCCTATCGACTCTCAATATCAGCCAACCGACCTACAGCTTCCATGTTTTGACTTTCAGCGTACATTGCCAGCTATCGCCCCCCACCCTCCAACCTCCGTCTTTCGACCTCCACCTATCGACTCCCAACCTCACCCAAACGACCTGCAGCATTCAGATTTGGACTTTCAACGTCCATTGCCAGCTATCGACTTCCACCCCATCCACCTCCAGCTTTCGGCCTCCACCCATTGGCCTTCAACCCCACCTGACCGACCTCCACATTCGATCTGGCTCAGAGCGTCCACCAGCAGCTATGGAATCCCAATCTTCGACCTATAGCTTTCGACGTCCACCTATCGACCCTCAACCTCACCTAACCGACTTCAAGCTTCCAGACTACGACTTGCAGCGTCCATCACCAGCTATGGACCTCCACCCTCCCACCTCCAGCATTCGACCTTCACCTATCGACTCTCACCCTCACCCAACCCTGACTTCCAGCGTCCATTACCAGCTATCGACTTCCATCCTTCCACCTCCAGCTTTCGACCTCCACCTATCGACCTTAATCCACACCTGACCAGCGTCCAGCCACGACCTTCCGAGTCAGAGCGACCACCACCAGCTATCGACTCCAAATCCGCGACCTCCAGCTTTCAACCTCCACCTACTGACCTCCAATCCCACCTGACAGACCTCCACATTCGACCTTCCGGCTCAGAGCGTCCACCACCAGCTATCGACCTCCACCCTTCCCCCTCCAGCTTTCGACGTCCACCTATCGATCCTCAACCTCACCCAACCGACCTCCAGCTTCTAGACTACGACTTGCAGCGTACATCACCAGCTATCGACCTCCATCCTTCCACCTCCAGCTTTCGACCTCCGCCTACTGACCTTCACCCCACCTTACCGACCTCCACATTCGACCTTCCGGCTCAGAGCAACCGCCACCAATTATCGTCTCCAAAAATTCGACCTTTAGTTTTCGACCACCCGACCTCAAGTTCCCAGCCTACGACTCCCGGCGACCACTGCCAGCTATCGACCTACTACTCTCTTCCAGCTTTCGACCTCCACCTGGCGACTATAAGCATCATCTTTCCAACCCCCAGCTTCCAGCTTCCGACTCCCAGCGTCCACTCCCAGCTGTCGACGTTGGAGAGGGCCGAGGGTCACTCAAGTGCGTAAGTGACGTGCCGGTGAGCATCTTAACGAATCGGGCCCAGCTTGACAACCAAGGAGCAACGCGGAGCAACAGCAATGAGTCAGCAACCGCGTGCGCCATCGCACCTCGTGACAGACAGAGAGAATCCACTCACAACAGACGACAGCATCGATACGCTCTTACACGATCTTGCCAACATACACTGGGACGCAATTGCCATCAACGAGACGTGGAGGACAATGAAAGAAGATTTGTGGACAACCAAAGACGGCAATCACGTTATTGCAGCTGCTGGACACCAAACGCATTCACGAGGAGTTGCTTTTTTGATTCGTAGCCGCCACGCTCAGTACATCAGGCGTTTCACGCCGATCAACGAGAGGATTGCTTACATTGACTTGGACCTACCCAAAAAGACTCTGCGGATTATGACGTTACACTTCCCGCACGGAGGATACAGCGACCATCGCGTGCAGCAGATTTACGACATGCTTACTACATTGCACAAAGACGCAACGCAACAGGGAAGACTGACAATATTGACCGGCGACTTCAATGCGCAGGTTGGGATTCAGGAGCACAACGACGACGATGTATGTGATGATGGTGACCGCGACAGATCTCACAGGATGATTGGTAAGTTCGGGGTGGGAAAATGCAACGCCAAAGGAATTTGGTTACGAGCTTTGGCACTCAAGGAGAAACTTTTGACCACGAACGCACGCACTTCTACGAGCATTCACAGCACGTGCTCACGTACACCAGCAAGGGCACGGACACGACACGCTCGCATATGGACTGCATCCTCATCGACCGGGCGTGCCGCACTATTGTTCTAGACGCTCACGCGTCCACATGTCCAGGCCTCGGATCCGACCACCAGGCTGTTCACATGCGACTCGGCTTGTCCACCACCGCGAGAAGGCGACGACGAAGTCATCAGAAGGCACGACCAACCACAGCTGGGCGACCACCAGCAAACGACCCAGCTTTCCGACGGCATCTCACAGAGGCATTGCAAACGCACCCACGCGTGTCGACGGTCAGCGAAAGGTGCACAGACACGGAACGAGCACTGAAGACTGCAACGAAAGCTCACGAGACCCGAAACGCCCACCCCAGCTTTTCCCACCAAGCGCACGACCACCAGCAAACCAAGCAGCTACACGACCTAATCGCACAACGGCGCTATACATTACGCGAAAACACGGCGACCCGCAAAGCGATCAGCAAGAAGATCTTCAAAGCGTTGCGACTTTTAAAACGGGCTCGGCGGCAAGCAAGAATCAAGGACATTATCGTCATCTTCGAAGACCTCAAGAAGTTGACAGGCAGAACAGCGAAGCACAAATACATGGTACCAGCAATGACCGGAAAGACGGCAACGACGAGACCGACCGACAAGCATCGTTGTCATCTTCGCCACGTTCTACGAACAACTTTACCGACAAAGCGGCTCCAACAATGGACGTTCGACGCACGGTTACCACGCCCCTGCCCCCTGCCGCGGGGGGCCGAGGGCCGAAGAGAAAGAACACAATATACCACCTTTCACACAGGAAAAAGTACACCAAGTAATCTACGAGCTAAGAAATGGAATGTGCAGGGACACAGCTGAGATCACGGCAGAGATGTTGAAAGCAGGCGGCACGTGCATAGAACAACATTTGCAGTGTCTTTTCAACGACACCAGTCGCCCGGAACAATTTCCGCCAGAACAGTGGAAGCGCACCACCATCATTGTGATCTTCAAGTCAGGAGACCCAAAACTACCACAGAACTACAGACCAATTGCAATCTTCCCTCTCCTCTGCAAGCTTATGTCTCGTCTCCTTTACAACCGATTGGGGCCACTTTTAGAGAAGCAACAAAGCATGGACCAAGCAGGCCTCAGACACGGCTACAGCACCGAGGACATCTTATTCACGACGGCACTCCTGCACAACCAATCAGAAGAATGGCAATTACCATTATGGGTGGCTGCGGTTGACTTCAAGACAGCGTTCGACTGTATCAGCCACGACGCTCTGTGGCACTCACTCTACGAGCAACAGGTGCCGAAGCCCTACGTCCACCTACTCCAGCAATTCTACACAGACCAAACCGCTACAGTACGGACGGACAGCACAAGCCGAAAGTGCAACATCCAACGAGGTGTGAAACAAGGAGACCCACTGAGCTCCCTACTCTTCAACGCACTACTTGAAGGCATCTTCCGGCGCATGAAGGACATATGGCGAAAGAAAATCAATTTGGCATACAGATGGGTTTCACCCCAGACACCCTCCTCACCAACCTACGTTTTGCAGACAACGTCAGCTGAAACGTTTACTGCGCGACCTCGAGCTCCAATCGGCACGGTGCGGCCTTGAACTACATCCAGACAAGACAAACATATTGGCCAACGGCACCCGGCTACAAGGAATAACCATCAAGGCCGCCAACATTGAAGGCGATAGCGTCGAGATTGTGGACGCAAAGCAGAGCACGAAGTATTTGGGCATGAAGCTTACATGCCACGGTTTCCACAACGTGGAACTCGACAACAGAATCGCGTCAGGTTGGCGCCGGTTCAATCAGTTGAAGCGCGAACTTACATGCAAACACCTACCCTCTCGCAAGTCGCTTGCGCCTCTCCAGTTTGACTGTGACACCCACTGTCATGTACGCGCGCAGCTCGTGGACCCTTACTAAAGACAGGACTACAGTACTGTAGCGAACAAAGCGGAAGATGATCCGAATCATTGCGGGCATTGGCCAAAGACGCACGCGAGCGAACCACCAGCACGCCGACGAGAATGAATTCCAGTCTATCGAAGCCCAACAGGAGGAGGAATATCGAACAGAGCGCCCAGGGCCTGACGAATACTCGCCGAAAGCAATCCAGACAACAGCAGCACTAGCAAATATGACTCCGACAAATACGGAAGCACCAAGAGCAACGACAGCGACGACGACGGCAGTGCCAGCAGCAGCGACGACAACACCGACAGTAACGACGGATTGGAGCCATGGGCACAATTCATCCGACGAGCGACGCACGCAGCCGACGCCCATGCCAGACGCGCGCGCGTCGACGACTGGACTTCGCACGACTTCCGAACAAAATGGAGATGAGCTGGCCGGATTGTGGATTTACCCGCCGAGTGCTGGGACCGACGTGCCGCCGTTTGGAAGCCTCCACCAGATGACAGAAGGCCCGCCCAGCGAAAGCACGGTGAACAGCGGAAGCGTCGGGACCACGAGATCGCGGAACTCTTGGAAGCCACGAGTGTGATCGACCAGGACAGGAGGCCACTCGATGAGGCTGGATGCGAGTGGTGGTTTGCACTGGCGTGCGACACCTGCACTTGGCAGAGGTTCGAGGACAAGTTTGTACAGTACGCTGTAGACCATCACCTCGAGCTCTCGGCCTCCGCCCGTCGACCTCCCACCCCGCCCGACCGACCTCCAGCTCCCAACCTCCCACCCCCAGCTTTCGAGCTCCACAGATCGACCACCCACCTCGCTGGATCGATCCCCATCTCCAGCCCCCGATTCCCACCGTCCACCGACAGTTGACGACAGGCGAACTTCCACCTCCAACTTTCGATTCGACCTCCACCTACTAGCCCCCGCCTCACCAGACAGACTTTTGATTTACAGCTGGCGACGCCCAGCGCCAACCACCTCGACCTTCCGCTTCATGTGGGTGACGTCCACCCCCCAGCATCCGACTACCAGCATTCACATGAAGTGCCGGATTTCCAGCCTCAAGTGCCAGATCTTCGGGCCAAACGGTCCACACGGACAACATGAACTGAGGGCTCCGGCCCCCCCGCGCAGGCCCGGAGGGGCCCCGCATTCGGCGGAACCGCGCGTTCGCCTCGCCCTGCTCTCTTCATAGGTCCCTACACGAGTTGCTGAAAAATAACCCCTTGGGAAGACAACCGTCGGAGAACCCTCAATAGTGCCAAGGCGCCACCCTTTGAATTTCAACGCCGCGAGTCAACTTTACTGTTGCGTCCTGAAGATCCTGCATCGCTCCAGAACGCCATTCCTGGGACTCCATCTCCGCGAAGCAACGTGACTGTCGTCCCGGACTATTCTAAATCACGCGGGAACATTCTGGGCCGTTAACCACAAGAATCTGTTCAGCCACTGTTCAGTTTTAAGACGAACGTGCGCGGCGCTTGGGCGAGAGCCACATTTTGAAAACCACTTGCCTTACACGCGTAGCGTTTCGGTAAACGTTAAAAGGCGAACGTGCGCGGCGCTTGGGCGAGAGTCACATTTTGACAGCGACCCGTCCTCAATCCGTGAAGCTCCTGCAAACGTATAATGAGACGAATGTGCGCGGCGTCCAGACCAGAGTCACATTTTGAAGAACGGCCGCCCTCCACCCGTGAAGCTCATGCAGATTATTCAGACGGATGTGCGCGGCTCGAAGGTGATAATCACATTTTCAAAACGCCCCGCCCTTCATCCGCGAACGTCTTGCGACGCGTTTAGAACGCGGCGCTAAGGTGAGAAACGCATGTTGACAGCGACCCGACCTACGGTCGTAAAATGGTTGTGCGAGTTTTTGAGACGAATGTGCTCGGCGTTTAGGCGAGAGCCACATGTTGAAAACCACCCGCCCTCCTCCTGTGAAATTTTGACAAACTTTTAAGACGAACGCGCGCGGCGATGCGGCGAGAGCCACATTAACAAAACGACTTGCTTTCCACCTGTGGAACCCTTGTAAACTTGAAAGACGAATGTGCGCGGCGTTCAGGCCAGAGTCAAATTTTGAGACCCACCCAGCCCGCTGGGATACTGAAGGTTGCTTGCCCAGCCCTGCTGTGCTTGGGATCGAACTCATACCCGGAGGGCCTTTACCTTTTTGCCTCCTCCTCCTTTCCCCTCTCATTGGCCCTCCTCGCCCTCCTCCTCCTCCTCCTCCTCCTCCTCCTCCTCCTCCTCCTCCCTTCTTCTCGTTTTCCTCCCTCGCCGCCGCCGCTGTCGTCGTCGTCGCCGCCGCCGACGCCGCTGACGCCGACGCCGACGCCGACTCCGCCGACCTCGCCAATGCCTGCGGCGGCGCCGATGCCGTCTCCAACGCCGCCGTTGTCGTCGCCGAGTGCCGACGCCGCTGCCGCCGTGGCCGCGGTCGTTGCTTGCCCGGGCCGTCAGAGGCGACCGGGCCATGGAGCTCGCGCTCGAGGCCCACGGCGGCGTCGCGCAGGACGCGGCCGCGGCCCCCGAGGCGGCGGCCAGCCTGGCGTTGATGGCCTCCGGGGCGCTGCAGGCCGTCGCCTCAGTCCGAGGGGGGCCCAGACCTTCGGGCGTTTCGCAGCGGGGGATGGCACCGATGCCGCCACCCTTCCTCAGTTTTGCGCCTCTGAGGTGGGTCTCCTCGGAAGCCCTCGTCGCCCTGGCCGGATTAGCTTCGGCATCCTGGTCCGTCAAGGCGCCCCAGGGAAGGTCAAGGGAGTAGCGGCGTCGGCCGTTTTATCCTTCCCCACAAGCGGGGGGGCCAGAGCTTCGGGCGTTTCGCAATGGGGGGCGATCAACGGCCCAGGCATCCACCGTCTTGAGCAAGAGATGAGGGCGGAGGGGTTTGTAACGTTCGGCCTCCCGTGGCCCTCACAAGGCCCCCTTGGACCGTCAAAATATTACACTGGATGAAGAGCTGGGCCAGGAGAGCGGGTCGGGGCTTCTGGGGACCCCCGTATTGAAACATCAGGGCTGCGGATGTCTGGGAATGGGGGGTTCAGCTGCCCTGGGACGCCTGGGCTGTAACGCAGCACGTGCCGTGTTCAACACGTGCCGGGTCGACGCGCTACGTGCCGATTCGAACGTGCGCCTCCGTTTTGGTGAATGTATGCTGCCAGGCCCACGTTTCGAATCCACGTGTTGGACCGCGTTTCAACAAGCTCCAGGTTGCGTGTTGCCAATCGGGACAGCTTAGATGGGGGGATCGAGGGGTGCAGGAATGGGGTCTTACGGGGGCCTGAAATGGGCCCCCCCGGAGCCCCGAAGGTGCACGACCTAAGGTGCACGAAATGTGCACCTTTCTTCACCCCTCCCGTTGATCGCACCCCCCTCGTGAAGCAACACCAAGAAACTCCCAAACATTGAAGCATTGAAGGATACAAGACGAAGTTTTTTCTGTGTTTTCGGCCTCTAGGGGCCCTAGCTGGGCCCATGGACCGTCAAAGAGCGGCTCAGGATGAACAACTGACATTGGGGAGAGGGTCGCGTTTTCTGAGGATCCAGATATTGAAAGTATTGAAGTATTGAGGTTCGACGTTTGAGGTTTTCTGACTTCATCGGCTCCCAGGGAGTTTTGCCAGATTCGGGGTTCTTCCAGCAGCTGCGCTTCGCCGAGGGCGTTCTAGGGGTGCTCGAACCGCTCCGAAAGACGCCAGGCACCTGACGTCTTACAAGAAAGGATGCGGAGGTTTTCCGCCGTTCTCGTCCTCAGGCGGCCCTTGCCAGGCCTCGGGACCGTCAAAGCACGACTTAGGATGAACAGCGGGCCCTGGGGAGAGGGTCGGGACTTCCAAGGACTCCGTCTTGGAGAAAATCAGAACGTCGTATCCCTGGGGATCCTTGACATCCTGGCGCGACATTTTTGTCACACTGGGCACTTTCGTCGAGTATCAGACCGCAGGAACTTTTGCCAGTCGATCTTGTTCGAGAGTTGTCGCAGAATGACAGGGTCGAAGGGTCAATGTCGCGGTTTCCACTCTGTTACTTTTTCGCGGTGTCGGATGAGGGATCGGCCTAAGGGGATGTCTACACAGCATGTTTGCCCGCTCTCCCGCTGCGCGCTTCGCTGCAGAGAATTGCCGTCAGTGGTCTAACGTGAGCGCGATTCACCAAGTGACATTGTTGGCAGTTTTTCGCCCTGTGGGATAAGAGAACGGCCTTCTGGGCGTCGACTTTCTGCCACGCTGCCACGTTTTCAGCAGCGTCGACGACGCACCGTCCATGTTAGAAGGGACGGCGTTAGCTTTTTTGTTTTTGGTGGGTAGGACGGAACCGCTCTTCTGGAATCGCTATCTTGGCAAAGACGACGTTGGCGGGATTCTGGTCAGGAACGCTTTCTCAGCGTGTCGCTCCGCCTGCTCCGGCCCACCACGCTTTGGCGCGACGCTCTAACCGTGGCCCAGTCCCCAGGCATCCACGGTCCGAACCTTGGCCCAGCCTCTCGCCCCGCGGAGTAGAGCGACGCGCTACCAGCCTGCTCGGCACGGCTTGCTGCAGGGGCCGCCGCCGCGACACGCCTCGCGCGGTACACCAGCCGCGAGGAAGGATAAGGAATCGAGCCAGTCAGCTCGAGCGTGTCAGAGAGCCCTGCCCGCCGTCCAGCCTCCATCTCACAACACGCGAGCCACTGCCAGCACATCTGTGTGGTGCGCTCCAGACGTGGGCCACGCTCTCGATCAGGGACAATGGCAGGGAGGGATCGGCCAGGAGACACCGCTGATCGCCCATAGGGGCCCGACAGCCCGCCCATCGTAGAAACGTGCGGTTCCGCTTTCGGGGGCCCCTCGCTGATGAATCGGCGACGTATCGCTTGTTCCAGGCCGACGCTTCCTTCCCATGAGTGGTCCCCCTTACGTTTCCTTTCGTTCGAGGGGCGGAGTGCTTGGCATCTCTTTGCCGGTGGAAGGCGCCGGAAAGCCGGCAGAGGGCGCGAAAGTGACGCGAGGGCCGCTCCGTCGGCGGAAGCCGGCAAAAGGCCACGGGGGAGCTGGCGGAAGTGAGGATGTGCCATCTGAGATGTGCTGACTTTGTGGCTCCGGAGGTTTGGAACCAGCCATGTCGACATCGTCGGAGCCCTAGAGGTTGGCACTAGCACCAATATCGGCGGCGTGGCTCCAGCGATGGAAGATGCATCCCGATCTCGGTGCTAGTGGCAGTATTCGGGCTTCCTGGGTGGCCGAAATAGGAACCACCAACACCAGAGGTCCAGGATCACCCTCCCCTGGGCGGACGCGCCCCCCCTGTTTCTTGGTGCTGGTGCCCATGTCCAAGTCTCCACCGTCGGTGCTGGCCCCCCCTTCCAAGTGCGGAACGGAGGGCGCCCGCGCACGCGCGCGTCCCCCTTGGCCTCGTCGACTCGGCGAGGGCGAGCCACAGAGACGGCGTCCGGGCGGGGGAGAACGGATGAGAACTGCAAGGAGCCCTCTGCACAGCGCTACGGCGGTGCCACCATGGGAGCGGTTTTCCTTCCCGGGCGATGACGGGCGTTGCCAGGGGGACGGGGGAGGAGGGGGAGGGGGCCAGTAACGTCACCTTTCGTGCCGGCGCCGTCTGGGAGTACCCCGGAATAGCCAAAGACAGCTCGGAGGTCACAGCACGAATCGTGACGCTTTTTTTGGGGGGATCTCGGGGAACAAGCAATGACATAATAAAAGTTTGGAGGTCCGCGCGAATCTCTCGGATCGGCGCTGAATCCCTCTCCCTGGAGCGCGCCAGGGGCGGCGCCGGAGGCGCCGCCAGGAGGCCACAGTTCCGATCCGAGGAATCCGCGCGAATTATGTTTTGTGTCATTATTTGTGTCCTAGTGTCATATTATTTTTATTATTAGTAGTAGTAGTAGTAGTATTATTTTTATCAGTAGTAGTAGTAGTAGTAGTCGTCGTCGTCGTCGTCGTAGTAGTAGTAGTAGTAGTCGTAGTAGTAGTAGTAGTAGTAGTAGTAGTAGTCGTAGTAGTAGTAGTAGTAGTAGTAGTAGTAGTAGTAGTAGTAGTAGTAGTAGTAGTAGTAGTAGTAGTAGTAGTAGTAGTAGTAGTAGTAGTAGTAGTAGTAGTAGTAGTAGTAGTAGTAGTAGTAGTAGTAGTAGTAGTAGTAGTAGTAGTCGTAGTAGTAGTAGTAGTAGTAGTAGTAGTAGTAGTAGTAGTAGTAGTAGTAGTAGTAGTAGTAGTAGTAGTAGTAGTAGTAGTAGTAGTAGTAGTAGTAGTAGTAGTAGTAGTAGTAGTAGTAGTAGTAGTAGTAGTAGTAGTAGTAGTAGTAGTAGTAGTAGTAGTAGTAGTAGGATCCGTAGGATTAGTAGTATTATTAGTGTCCTGGTGTCACTTGTTTTAATGCCATTATTAGTTTTTATTCATGACATAAAAATGTTTATCAAATATGGTGTTGTATCATTGTTTGTTGTCCTGGTGGGGACGGCTGGGGCTTGTAACGGGCGCTATCGCGGAACAGAAACAAACGCTCTCCATGCGGCCCTGTCGCGCGCAGCCGAGCTTCCCCGCGAAGACGGGGTGGGGGCAAAGCATACGCGCCCCGGTCCAGCATAAGCGCAGCTTTCGAGCGAAATCCGCGCGACCTCAGCTGGTTACTTTGCATCTTCGCGGGACCTTTCCTGCCCTGTGAATTGCAGTCTGTTCTCGTCGTCGACATGGGTTCGACGCGGATTCGACATGAATTCGACGTGCATTCGACAAGATTTCGACATGGATTCGACGCGCTCGACATGGGTTCGACACAGATGCGACGCGGCTAGCTGGCGCCAGACGATGTCCTCCAAAGGTGCAGCGGGAAGTTGGATTTCGTTCTCTCGGGTGCGGCCCCGTCTCCGACGACCGGGCGGACGCAGAGCATGCGCCGCGTCACCGCGGGAGAGCGCCATTTTCGGGCGGCTGCCGACCCAAGGGCAAGGAAAATTGGCGCCGCGTGCAAAGAGCAGTACAACTCTCAGAAGCACTGGAGCGGGTCACATTTCAGTCCTGTGCGAGCGAGTGTGCCGCGTAGGTTCGGTAAATAGGTGCATGATGATGAGGAGGAGGCTGTGGAGGGGCAGAGTGAACCCAGGATGCATCAACGATGCTAGCCCCCTCCTCACAAGTCCCTACAACTGTTAGCCAGCGCGCGCACCGAACAGCGAGTTCTTGCAATATATGCGGCGCAACCTGGGTGATGCGATCAATGTGGTGCAATCTAGGTGGAACAGTACATGTGGTGCAATCTATGCGGACCAAAGCAACGCAAAGCGAATCAAACCAAAGCAACGCAATGCAAAGCCTTGCGCACCAATGCAAAACAATTCAAAGAAATGCAAGCCAATACAAAACCATGCAACGCAATGCAAAGCACTGCAACGCAATGCAACACAATGCAAGGCGTCGCAAAACAATGTAACGCAGTCTAATGCAATATAAAGCAATCCGAAACAATGTGAAGCAATGCGAACCAGTGCAAACCTATGCAAAGCAATGCAAAGCGATGCAAAGCGATGCAACGCAACGCATTGCAATGTAATGCAATGCACAGCAAACAAAGCAATGCAAAGCGATGCACAGCGATGCAACGCAATGCAACGCACGGGAAAGCACTGTAATGCGATGCGAAGCCATGCAATGCAAGGCAATACGCAGCAATGCAACGCAAAGCGATTGCAATGCGAATGCAGTGCGATTGTACCGCAGTGCGAGTGCAATGCAATGCACAATTGAATGCGGTGCGATCGCAATGCAACGGGCCGGCGGGGGTGCACTGGCGCGGCGGCGACGGGCGGGAACGGGGCCGCTGGGGCCGCAAGCGAGCTCTCCATCTGGAGAGGTGGGGCGGCGACGGAGCGCCGGGGGCCCAAGTCGAGGAATGCTTGCACGGCCCAGGAGGAGCGGGCCAACGAGGGAGGAGAGTGGCCCTTGACCAAGAACCACAGACCTGCCCAAGTTCTGGACGCTGCGCGAGCAGCTAAAGGGCTTAGGGCAGAGCGAGGAGGCATGTTCGACGGGGCCGCCGGGGCGGCGCACGCGCCTTGTGCCTTAGCGTGGAAGTCAGAACCTCTAAGTGCAAGCACCGTTTGGGGAACACTCCCTTTCGTTCCGGGAAAAGCGCCCCCCTGAAAATCAGCTCCTGGGCTTGTTCATTCAGGTCAGAGCCTGGTTTGAACCCGGGATTGCCCTGCATTGCATCCTTCGCATTCGCTGGAAGTGATGTGAAGAGGCAGGATCAGAAGGTTCAACGCAGAGTCCAGGGATAGCACCGTTTTGAAAACTAGCCGCTCTCCATCCGTTGAGCTGGCGCACCGCTTTACACTCCCAGCCACACTGTGTTGGATGTCTCAAGTGAGGACACACCGTTTTGACCAGACGCTCCCAGCTTCTTTGTAGCTGAATCATGCGCGGAAGCCCCATGTGAGCATCACGTTCCATATTTGTAAATTCGCATGGCGCTGAGGCGATAGCCACATCGAGAGCACCCGCCCTCTTCTTTTTCAGTAGCTACTGAAAGCATTCGAAATCAATGGGCGCGGCGCTGGGGCGAGGACAACATTGCGCAAACCACCCACCTTGCATCCTTGTAGCTGTTGGACTTCTTCAGCGAACGTCCGCGGCGAGAGCCTCGATTTGAAAACCGTTCGCCCTCCATTCGTGTGAGTGTCGGAGGTGTTCAGAACGAATGTGCCCGTCGCTAAGGCGACAGCCTCAGTTTGAAAACGAATTGCCTTCATTCTTGCCACTGTTAGAGATTTCGAGCTTCGCTGCCACAAACGGTGAGGAAGTCTCGGGCGAAACGTCCAGCCGGCCCCACCGACACGCCTGGCAGTGCGACGAGGAGGAGCTGTGAATGTGGGAGACCGATCGGGGAGGATGATCACGACGACGACGACGGTGGCGGCGACGATGCCGCCGCCGACGAAGGCGACGATAAAGACGATGACGATAAGATGCTGACGATCAGAAAAGGCGTTATCTGAGTTCGCTGGGAGGGAGTCGGGGGGGGATTGGTTCGGCACGCCTCTGACTTTCGGGACGGGGGGGGTGGGGCGGCTAAGGTGACAGGTGACGGGGGTGACGGGTGATTGTCGTGCGCCGGAGCGCGCCTTGCGCGGGCTGCCCGAGCTCAGCACACGTAGCAGAAGAGGTCGTTCCCCTTGTACTTCTTGACGCTTCATTATTCCAGCAAATAAATGGCTTGATATATCTCTCCTTTACAAGATTACCGCAAACACTGCATCTATAGAGGATTTTGCAAAACCTGCTACCAATCGAACAAAGTCTTCTTGAAATGTGAGTTTTGTCGAACTGCGCTCTTCCACAAGTGTCGCAGTCATGTTACACAACATTCGATTCCTGCAGTCTTCTATTTTCAAACCCCGTCGCTTTCCATTCGGGCATCTGGGCTTGAATCTCCAAGCATGGTTTTGCAATTGACTATCACAATCCACTTGATGTAAAAGCCGTATCTCCTTGAACCGCCTTCGCATAATGAATTCCCTCTACACTGCCTGAACCTTCATAAGAGCACGCGGAACATGCATACTATATGTTTCGCCGCCTACCTCACCAAAGCGTCCGCTACGAATTTCCACGGGCACTTCCGGAATAGTTTCCCCCCTCGCTACGTGTAGCGATTTGCTCTGAATCCGCATTGTATGGAGAGTATTTGGGCTACGATACTTCTCCAGTGCTGGTCTCTGCGCTTGCATGCACGTGATCCCCAAGGGTCATCTCCAGTATGCTTCTCACTGTCCATAATTGGCGTTCTAAAACTTCAAGTTGTGAAACTCGGCCAGAATAGCTCGAACATGATACCATAACCATAATACCTGAAGGCGCGTCGGGCCGCATATTCACAAAAATTATCCCAGCAAAGCAACCTAACAGCGATGTGTAAAATCATATATGTGTGCACCATCATTTAGATTCAGATGGCGATTTCATTAATATTCAACTCGGGCTCTCATTGTAGACTTTTGCATCAAAGTCTGCAATCGACGGATGTGAGTTTAAACAAGCACTCGGTATCAACGAATGCAGTTTCAAATGGGACTCTGGTATCTACGTTCACTGCGTGCTCACGGAAGCGTTTGAAGTGGATGATGTGATGATGACCATGATTGTTTAAAGTAGAGCTTATGTATCAATGAATGCTGCGTTTGATGGCTGCGTTCTTTCGAAGTGTTTTTTCGGACACGCACGAGGAGCACAAATGAGTGCAGCGTACGGAGCGAGAAAACGGGCAAAAGCTGCAAGCTAAGAAGCATCGCAGACACTACTACTACTACTACTACTACTACTACTACTACTACTACTACTACTACTACTACTACTACTACTACTACTACTACTACTACTACTACTACTACTACTACTACTACTGCTACTACTACTACTACTACTACTACTACTCTACGAGTAGAAGGGAGAAGGGAAAGGACGGAGAGGGAGGGCTCGGAGACCCTTGGAGGGGGGGATGTGCCCATCCGAGGGAACGGTGCACCCCCCCCTCCCCGTCGTCAATTCGAGGGAACCAGCCATGGCAACGACCCCCCTCCTATCCCCCTCCGCGACCTGAGTAGACCACCCAGGCCAGCGGAGGACGTCATAGGAGGCAAGGGTTCTGACGTCGATGAGAGAAGAAAAAGGAGGAGGAGAGGCGTGACTACTACTACTACTACTACTACTACTACTACTACTACTACTACTACTACTACTACTACTACTACTACTACTACGACTACTACTACTACTACTACTACTACTACTACTACTACTACTACTACTACTACTACTACTACTACTACTACTACTACTACTACTACTACTACTACTACTACTACTACTACTACTACTACTACTACTACTACTACTACTACTACTACTACTACTACTACTACTACTACTCTACGAGTAGAAGGGAGAAGGGAAAGGACGGAGAGGGAGGGCTCGGAGACCCTTGGAGGGGGGGATGTGCCCATCCGAGGGAACGGTGCACCCCCCCCTCCCCGTCGTCAATTCGAGGGAACCAGCCATGGCAACGACCCCCCTCCTATCCCCCTCCGCGACCTGAGTAGACCACCCAGGCCAGCGGAGGACGTCATAGGAGGCAAGGGTTCTGACGTCGATGAGAGAAGAAAAAGGAGGAGCGAGTAGAAGGAGGAGGAGAGGCGTACGAGTACTACTACGACTACAATGGCGTGTTCTCCACAATGCGTCCCGGGAATGGAATTCTGGGAGGTGGAAGAGCAGGAAGTGGCGTGCAGTTGGCTCCGGGCATCCAAAATGTGCGCCAGGAGTGGCAGGAGTGGCATTCGGCGATGGCGTTCGGGGCAGTCGAAGAGCACGAAGTGGCCTACAGTTGGCTCCGGGCATTCAGAATGTGGCCCGGGAATGGTGTTCTGGGAAATCGAAGAGCACGAAGTGGCCTACAGTTGGCTCTGGGCATTCAGAATGTGGCCCGGGAATGGCGTTCTGGGAAGTCGAAGAGCACGAAGTGGCCTACAGTTGGCTCCGGGCATTCAAAATGTGGCCCGGGAATGGTGTTCTGGGAACTCGAAGAGCACGAAGTGTGTGACTGTTGCGTCCGGTTATTCAAAATGTGGCCCGGGAATGGAGTTCTGGGAGGTCGAAGAGCACGAAGTGTGTGACTGTTGGCGAAAAACGAGCCCGGTTCGTCCGCCCGGCGTCCGCCCGGCAGCTCGCCGACATCCGCCCAGACCCCCTTGTGGAGTAAGCTGCTGCCTTTTTTTGATCCTATTAGAAACCTATAAGTCTACGCTGTCAGGTAAAAGTGGAACGTGCTGCTTGAAACATTCGGTATCGACCAAAGTCTGCCTGGTTGCCAACCTCCTATCTCGAAGTCTGCGCGCTTTGGATCTTGATCATTTTGATGTGTTTTCCGCCACGCAAGGTCGCCGACTGCTGGGCTGCTGGGCTTGAGTCATGCCTTGGTCTTGAGCCATGGGGCGGCCAGGGGGCGGGGATTCGCCGTGGACGGGGGGGAGGAGGGTGGGGGGTCCAGGCCCCAGAAAGGAGGACGTGGAGGTGGGAGTGGGGGGGGGGGGGGGCAAATCGCTCGCTCAAGGATCACTGCACGTCGGCGGCCCCAGACATCCGACGTTTTGTTGATTTTGTCAAATATGGGGTCCCCAGAAGTCCCGGCCCTTCCCCCAGAGCCGGCTTTTCATCCTGAGTCGCCGAGTCGTTGTTTGACGGCCTTGGGGACTGGCGAGGGCACCCAGAGGCTGAAAACTCTTACAAACCTCCGGCCTGATTTTTCCAATGCGTTGGATGCCTAGATCACGTTCGCGGCTGCGGCCCCGACGGCCCCGACGGCGGCGGCGTTGGCGACAGCCCAAGGCGGCCGCCGCCCGCCTGCGGGCGCTGCCCCCGCCCGGCATGGAGCCGGCGCAGTGCAGCAGGGTGGTGCTCCGCGCCGCCGTCCTCGTCGCGCTGCCGGCGGCCTCGTGGTGGTGGTCGTTGTGCTCGTTGTGGTGGCCGTGGTCCTGCAGTCACGACTCTGAAAGAAGGGCCGCGTCGGTCTCTGGAGGGTCTCTAGTTTTCGGGCCGTTACTTAGATCGGGTCTGGGGAACTTGTTCTTATCCGAGGCTCGCCGTGGCCAGCACACGTCCTACGTTCTTCAACATATCCCCAGGCCGAAAGTCTTCCTCTCTTGAACTGTATGAAAAAACCGATGGATCCAATTGGATCCCCTTTCGGGTGTGCGACAGTGTCGTGGATCCTATATCTTTCTTGCGCGGATCCAATTTCCCGTGTGTGAAAAATGGATCTATTTATTTTTCGAGAATAGATATGATTGTAATTATCATCTTGGACCAAGGGGAAATGGGATCCGCGGGGCACCGCACGTGAAACATCATGCTATCCACGGAACTGGGGATCTGTTGGCCAAAGCTATGATTCTACGGGGGAGGGGGGACTACAGCGGGCCCGGCCAGCTCCCACATCTCCTCTCATAACAGATGGCACGCCCCAAGCCGAAGAGCCAACACGCAGCTGGTTAACACGGACGTTTTGAACACAACACGGGTGCATCAAGAAACTTGAAGGGGCCAGACGCCGGGGTCATTAGACTTCGCGCATCGCTCCCCGCGAAGCACGATGCGCGATCATCTTCGCGCCCCGCGCCGCCCCCCTGCAGAACGGACACCTCAGCCGACCAGGCCGCGACGCGCGAAGCGCGATTATCTCCGCGCCCCTGGAGGTGGCTTACGGCCATCGTGCTGCCATGAGGAACGCTGAATACTTACGCAGGCCGAATTTTTTTTCCTCTTGAGCCCGGAATGTCGGAAACGACGTGCCGTTCAGGTGAGCGGATACATGTAGCACTCCCCACGTGCTCGCCATGAGCTCGCCATGCTTCCGCCCCGCTGTCGCCTCGCGCCGTGCTCCCGCCCCGCCTCCACGTTCTCGCGCTGCCGTGCTCTCTCGGAGGAGGGCCACTTGAGACAACGGCGACGCTGCCGCCCCATCCAGATCCGTGCGAAATCGGCCCCCAGACCCCTCCCGTGGTCCATCCTGGCCCGTTTTCAGGGGCGGGTCCAGCCGTGGCGACGGGCAATCCCCAGGAGGCCCAGCATAGGCGAACACGCCAGAGAGGGCGGCCGTTGTCTCGACTACTGGCCCTCCCCCGATTTTCGCCCTCCCTCCCTGCTGCCAGCGTCCTCGGTTGCCCCTTTCGTTCCTCGGTTGCCCCTTTCGTTCGTCTTTTGCCCCTCCCTCTTCGTTGCCTCAACCCCTCGTCCTCGCTCGTCGTGTATCCCTCTCTATCTTCGTGCGTTCTTCCTTTCTTCTCTGTGTTCAGAGGAGGAACACGGACCACCACCACCGAGATCCCATCAGCGGGGGCCGACCACTGGGCGGTGGCGCGCCCGAGTGTCACCCCTAGACAAGATGACGCTCAGGCGTGCCACCGCGCAGGGGCAGGCCCCTCACCGATAGGCTCTCGGTGGCGGTGGTCCATCTTCTTCCTCTGAACCGCCCTGGTGTGGTTTGCGATCGGCACCGTTGGGGCCATGGGGAGCACGACGCCGTCCTCGCCTGGCCCCCCCGGGGCGCGGCGGAGAGCTCTGTCGAGGTCTTCGCCCTCCCCCAGGGTGCCGCCCAGGGTGCTGGTTGTCAGAGCGTGAATTACCTACCCCGCTTTCGCTTCCAGGCAAAACCAAGTCATACCACGCGCCTCCTCGTCAAGCGGCCTGACCAGTACAGGCCGTCGTTTGGCATCGCTTGGTATCTCTTGGAAGCGAGGGTGGTCAAAAGCGAGGTAGGTCTGTTTGCCCCCTAGGTTGCAGGCCACGCCCTTCGGAGTCGCTGAACCCTTCCACGGCCTCACAGCTGCCCGGCCTCTCCCTGCGCTCTGCGCACTGCTCAGCCTCCCCGTGGGGCGGAGGCGTGGCCGCGCCCCTGTGCCTCGCCTCGCCTCGCCTCCCCTGCCGCTGCACGGGCCTCCCCCCCCAGGGGAGGTGGTCGCGGGCGGTGAACATACGGTCGAGCATCTGAGTACGGTAGGTTCGCGTCGTGTCGACCAGCGGCGACCTCGCCAGCGGCGTTCAACGTTGAACGCCGACGGCGGCCCAGAATCGGTCGATGTTGAGCGATCGGAAGTTGCGGAGACGGCCGATCGTTCAAGGTTGAACGATCCAGCGCGGTGTCAGGAACCAACGCCAGGGTCGACACGGCACGGACCTGCAGTAAGAGACCTCCTCCCGAAAAGCCAGACCAGCTTTTCGGGGTCAGTTTGCCGGAAAATGAGCCCAGTTTCCTGGGCACGTTCGCCCCTCCAGCTTCCTCCGAAACATTTGGCCCATCTTTGTTTTAATGCACTTCCGCAAAAGTGGCACAGGTTTTTTTAAATGATCTTTTCTTTGGCCACGTTCTACATAGGCTGTATGTCCGCATCCGCGCCCTCGCAGTCCGGATTCCAGGGCGCGATCCCGCGGATACGCGGTCGCACGGATGCGTTCCGTGCGGGGCACTCGCGAAAAAACGCCCCGTGCACGCGGGGCCGCGGCCCAGGTGCCTGGCCCGCGAGGCCGTATGATACGGATACTCCAGATTTCGTAATAAAAGGGAGGGGGTCTGGACCCTCCAAGACAAGCCATTTCAGACCTCCCCCGTGGGAGAACCCTCCAAAACATCGTCCCCAGACCCCCCAGGCCCTCCAAGATAGCCTGGAAGAGGCCCCCCCCCGAAATGAGACCCCCCTCCCTTTATTACGAAATCTGGAGTACGTGTTTCGCCCACGTGAGATGGCGCCGAGGTGCTCGCCATGCTCTCGCAGGCCCTCCAGCTGCTCCCCCAGCAGGGCCACGGCGGCCACGGCGCCGCCTGCCTCCGGCAGTGTGCGGCGTTCGGGCCGGGCCTGTGCGCGCACGCCCACCTGATGGCCTGCGAGGTGCACGCGGAGGCCCGCAGCCGTCGCCGCAGCCCAGACACGCTGGCGCAGTACAACAAGTCACGACGACAGGCTTTTGGCCGTTCTCTCGGCCCTTGGGGCCCTTGCCGGGCTCGAGGACCGAAACATTATTCAGGATTCGGGGAACAAGAAGTCACAGAAACATGACAACTCGGAGGTCCGCGCGGATTTCTCGGATCGGCGCTGGACCCCCCCTCCCTGGCGTGCGGAGCGCGCCAGGGGCGGCGCCGGAGGCGCCGCCGGGGGGCCCCAGCGCCGATCCGAGAGAAATCCGCGCGGGCCTCCGAGCTTTTATGTTTATGCCAATTTTTGTTCCCTTGAGGATGCAGAAGCGGGCCTGGAGGAAGGGCCTGGACGTCGGGAACCGCGTACAGCGAGCGGCTTGAATAAGGAACACTTGCTGTTCAAAAGGGGCTCGGGCGTTCCTCAGGCTTGCATGCGTTATTTACAGTTCCTTATGCGTTATTTGTTGTTTATCGTTCCTTATGCGTTGTTCCTTGGGATAGAAAAAAGGGCTTCGTTCCTTATTTATCGTTCCTTAGGTCAGGCCGATGACTGTACGCACTTGAAGGTCAAGACGCCGCATGTCTGGGAGCCGCCGCGGCTGCCGCCCGTCGTCGTCGGTGTCGGGGGCCGCCGTCGTCTCCGTTGGGCGTCTTCGGCGTGGTGGTGGCGGCGATGCTCGTCGTCGGCGCGGCCGTCGTCGTCGGCGCGGCCGTCGTCGTCGGCGTCGGCGCCGTCGTCGGAGCGGGAGGTCGTCTGTCAGCCGAGGGGCGTCGCGCGTGCGCACTCCTCGGCCCTCTGCCGAGCCACCGAAGCCGACACGTGCGTGCGAAGGTCACGGGGCACTCGAAACAGCACAGGGAACGGGCAGGGCATAAGAAGGCACACCGGCCTCCCATCCAAGAACCCCGGGAGGGCGGGAGGAGGAGAGGTCGGAGGCGAGCAACCCGCCCCGCAGCACTCCTCCGGGGGAGGCCCACACCGCCTTGGCCGCGTGCTGAGCGAGTCGACGCGCCTCCTTGCGGGCGCGGGCGGTTTCGCGATTGGCCTGGATGCGGGCGTTGACGTCATCTGCGAGGGGGTGAGGCGGATGAGGGGGCGTCGGAGTAGCGGGGGGAGACGGAGGGGGAAGCCCTGAAGGGGCCAGGCACTCCTCTGTTTCAGCATGCATCTGATCAATGTAAGCCTGCTGCTGTACGGCGTCAAAGTCCGGAGCAGCATTGAAACGAGAATTGGCCTTTTGCGAACCTCTTGGGGGCCTCTCGGGGCCTCAGGGGCGCCCCTTGGGGCCCTCTTGGGGAACTCTTGGGAGCCTTCGGGGCTATCTTGGGGCAGTCTTGGAGGAGATATATTCAATAAGGGGGAGCATTCGACTAATTAGGCCTCCTGCCAAGGAAGCCAAGTTTGGCCCAGAACCTCAGTCACCACGATTACGGTAAGGTTGGAAATTGGATTCACGCGACCCTCATTGGGTTCACCGCTATGATTTCCTAGAGGGCCCATGCACCGCGTGGGACCGTGAGGTTCATCGCCAAGAGGAACAAACTTTCGGCCTGGGAGTGTATGCCGGCACATCCGCCGTCGCGGTCAAAAACTAATGCAAAATGTTCGCGGGGCGCCCGCGCACGCTCTAGATGTGGAGGCAACCTGCTTGTTCAAAGATGGTTTGCTTGCGCGCAGCGAGCACTATGACGGCACTTCCGCCGTCCGTGTCAAACATCCAGTGCAAAGGGGTCGCGGGATGCCCGCGGATGCTCCAGATGTAATGGCAGTGTGCATTATGTATGGTTTTTTGTTGGCAGGGATGATTGGCCTGCGCGCGGAGAGCAATATGATGGCCCCCCGGTCGTCTTTGCCAACAACTAATACAAAGTTGTCGCGGGGCGCCCGCGCATGTTCCAGATCCCGAGACAAAATGATTTGTGTTATTATCTATGTCAGGGATGGTGGTGGTGGTGGTGTGGGGGGGGGTTGTCTCGGCCCACAGTTGGGTGGGGGAAGGGGGTGTATATGAATAAGGAGCAGTGATAAACACTTCCCCGAAGGGAAACAAAGATGTTGGAAGAGGGAACTCGCTAAGCCACTCGCGGCCTAAAGGGCTGGTGGGATTTCCGTTTTGATACACTTGCTTACGCCACACCGTGGGGCTTCCGGCCCCTCAGGGTCCATGGATGCCGAGATGTTCCTTGATCGTATGAAGATTATTCATTGTATCGTTTTTACTGTAGTATTCCTCCTCGTCCTTCTCTTTGTCCTCGTCTTCGCCACTGTCCTCGCACTCGCCTTCATCTACACGTTTCCCTCTTCCTCCTTCTCCGCCTCATCTCCCTCGTACCTCTTATCCTGCAGTTTTTTTCTCCTCGGCATCGTCCTCGTCCTTGTTGTCGTCCTCCTCGCACTCCTCCGCTCCTCCTCCTCCTCCTCCTGCGTCTCTTCCTCCGTTCCCTCCTTCCGCCGCCGTCCTTTCGATCGTCGATCCTCCTCGATTTCTCTCCGTCCTCCTCTTCCTCCTGTTCCTTCCTTCTCCGTAGCCACTTTGGCTCAAGATGCTATTGTCCCTCGGGCAGAAAGGGGATACCTCTAGTCCGAGGCCAGATCAGGAAGTTTCGGTCAGCTCCTGCTGGAGCATCTTCTCTTTTCTCGCACCCGCTCAGATTCGTGAGGGTAAAACGAGGCTTGTCCACTTCCTGCGCGGGCCTGTGCACAATCACGCAGTGTTCATAGTTCGGCCCCATGGCGCAACATGATGACAGAAGGGACAACAGGGAAAATGAGGTCAAAAAGCGTACAGGGGAGAGGCGGTCACCCCTTCTCGCCGTGCTCGTGAACGTGTTCCTGCTCCTCTGTTTGGTTATGATTGGTCTGGATTTTCAGTTGCTGCGACGCCCCCGGTTTCCCCGAGGCCCCGCGCTGCGGCCCGCGCTGCTGGCAGCCAGGCTTGGCGAGATGGTGCATCGCAGGCTGGGGCTCTTGGGAGTGGCTCGCAGCGGTCTCGGAGCGAGCGCGGCGGCCTCTCGCTTGGCCCTGAGGGGCGCCCCTCTGCGGTTGCAGCCAGCGCAGCTATGGCGGACTTCGAGCTCTTGGCCAGGCCCGACGAGGCCCCCACGTTTCCATCGCAGGAGCTCGCCGACCCTGGGGTGCCCTCTGGCGACGGTGCTCCTGCTGGCGCGGCGATGGCACCTGTGGCCCCTTGGCCAAGGCCCGCCCCACCTGGGCGGGATGGCGTTGCTCTTCAGCATGAGCGGCACGGAGGCGGTGGGCCTGCTGATGCACGTGGCGCTCCTGTTCTTGGTGCGGCAGCTGCCTCGGGCCAGTCTGGTTCAATGGATCCCTGGGCCGCCTCGCTGGCGCGGAAGGAGTTCAAGGTTGTCCAGGACTCGGACTTTCAGGCGTCCTGCACGGCTGATCTGTCCGCATCTGCCTGGCGTTTTTGCAGGCCACCTTGCCGTCGGCTCTGTCGGCGGCAACAGGCCTGCTGTTACAGCAAGTCGGTGAGAGAGTATCCACGCGCTTCGAGGACCTGGCCTTCCGTATGCAGTGCTGAATCAGAGATTGATGCCGTCTCGTCTTTCCAGGAGGAGATGGGCCGTCGGTTGGCCAAACTCGAGTCGTAGCTGGACTTGGCGAAGGCTCGACCCTCTGTGGAATCTCCTGCGCGCGCGTCGGAGTGGGATCGCCCCAAAGACTGTGCGATTTCCGTTATCAGCGCCGAGGAAGAAGTTGCTCTACTTCATACTCAGGCGGCTCTGGCAGGTTGGCTACGGGATGCGGGGTGCTCCTTGGATTATGAGCCCCGCTTCGAGGGGCCGCGGCTGAGCACGCAGTGCTCGGACCTCGTGCTGCTACCGTCCGGGCGCGGCTTCGGCGTTCACAAGCGGCCGTTCGTCTCGGGCTTGGGCGTTGGCGGGGCTTCGTGGTGGATGCGCCTGCTAGTCGTTGGACTCCTATCTATGTGGGCCTTGGCAAGAACCGTCGCCAGGGAGCGTGCCTGCCGTCAACTTCGCGTCGCGTTGGGGTCGGCCTTCCAGTTGCCGCGCAAACTCGACGCGGACCGCGGCGCAGGGGCCATCTCGTACCAGTGGGGGCAGCTGACCTGGATCACGGTCTCCCCCGCAGCGTTCCCTGCTGTTGCCTGGAACCGCAACTGCGTCGCCGACGACGGTCGCGGGCCTCCCGGGTAGCAGGCGATCGCTCAGTCCACATGTCAGCCAAGAGTAATCTCATCGTCTGGGCAACACTTTCTTGGGTGGTGGCTGCGTCGAATGCGGGGGCTGGAACTGTCGCGCGCCCTGCCGCTGCGCTGGCGCGGGCGCCGTGGGCTCGACTTCTTGCAGATATGGCGCGGCCGCGGCTGCGCGCTGCAGGAGACGCATGGCGATCGCGATGCTGGGAGGGAGGTGTGTGTTTTTTCCATTCTCGAATTGAACGCGGCATGTTTGCGCCCTGTCTTCCTGGGCCGAAGAGTGGGGGAGTGGTCGCTCCGGCCCCGCGGCCCGCAGGGTCTGTTCCCGTGGGGGTGGGGGGGGGCCCTTTCAGCTCCTCGGGGGGGCGCTGTGTCTGGAGATTCGGGGCTCGGGCGCTGCGCTTTTTCATTGGAGCATGCGCCATCTTGGAATTCTTTCGAGCGCTTTGGAAGCCATCCGCGTGGAGATTTCGCTCCAGATCGATTCGGCTCGAGGGGGTCCGTTTCGGTTTGGCTTTATCCTTGCGGGGGGATTCCAATGCCGACTCGGAATCGGAATGTGGAAACGTGCGCGGGAAACGGAATGTGGGAACGTGTCTGGCGCCAACTAATTGAAATTGAGTTCTCTCCTGGCGGCCCTGCCCTCGGGCGCCCAGTGGCCTCCTCGGAGTCGGAGGTCGATCGATTCCTCGCCGTTGTCCCCCCCAGCATCCCGCGCGATGATTTCTAGGAAGCCGCCTGCGATGGTGGGCCCCGGAAATTTTTAACGAAGGATGTTTCGGGTCATTGCGTAGGCAGGTTGCGG